TTCACCGACTTTGCCAGTGTCACCTGACTCTGTGCTAATATGGAGGACATTGTTGCTTATCTTGTTACTGGTACAGTTTTGATTCTAGTCCTCTCTGCCTCTTGTCGAACTCTGATGTAGTTTTTACCGGCAGACGTGTTCTATGTTTGCTGTTCGTGAAACTTTTTTTGAATGACCTGTTTGAGTGGGGCATATGCTGGACCATAAGGTTGCAGGTTGTGCTGAACCTATTGTCTTCATGGCTGCATTTTGTTTTGATACCCAAAGTGACAGCTGCTACATACTATCATGACTTGACTGCGATGTATGTGCTGATCGTGGTGCCCCCCCACTGTTCTGTAAGCTGTTACAAAATGCCATCAGCAACTGACCAGAAAATGCTCGACTGACTGCCATACAAGACAAAAGCACTTCATCCCAGGTTTTGATATTAACATGCTTAAATTCAACAAATGGTAGAGAAAAGAATGGATTCATATTCTATTACTGTGCAACTTAAACTATACCTCCTTTAAAAATTTAGAATACACACACTTGTTTACAATTGAAACAGATAAAAGACTGAGAGTTCGACACGTTATGGATGGGAAAAGAACGTAGGCAGGGTAAATAAAATTCTGAAGATCAGAAGTCCAGATCTCAAGGATAGGCTCAATTATCTCTTATCTCTTGTTTTGTTTCAGTTCTGAGGATCTGCTGTTGTCTACAAAGTGGTGGTTATTTTTCACTTTGATAGGTCCGCTGGATCAGCTATGTTGAGGGAGAGAGAGGTGTTCAGTTTGCAGGCTGTGGATGTTTCTACTGCCACTGCACTTCCAATTTTGTTTGAACTGCAGTTTGCTATAATCAAGGGCTGTAACCAGACAGAATTTCCCAAACGGTGGCACTCTGTCCCCATGTTTCCTTCACAAGAGGGAAGAGGTGTGTTCTCCAAAGGGTGGAATAAAAAGTAACTGGGAGAAACAGATATTCATTTCTCCACAAGGTAGAATGGTTAGCAAGTTAGGTTACATGGAATACAGGGAGAACCAGACATATAGAACTGGCTTGAAGGTAGGAGACAGAGGGTGGTGGTGGAGGGTTGCTTTTTAGACTGGAGACCGGTGGTAAGTGGTGTGTCATAAGGATCGGTCCACTGCTTTTTGTCATTAATATAAATGATTTGGATGTGAATTTAGGAGATATGGTTAGTAAGTTAGCAGATGACACCGCAATTGGTGATGTAGTGGACAGCGAAGAAGTTTATGACTGAGTACAACAGAACCTTGATCAGATGGGCCAATGGGCCAAGGAGTGGCAGGTGGAGTTTAATTTAGATAAATGTGAGGTGCTGCATTTTGGAAAGACAAATCAGGGCAGGACTTGCACACTTAATGGTAAGGTCTTAGGGAATGTTGGTGAACAAAGAGACTTTGGAGTGCAGTTTCATACTTCCTTGAAAGTAGAGTTGCAGGCAGACAGGATAGTGAAGGTGGTGTTTGGTAGGCTTGCATTTATTGGTCAGTGCGTTGAGTATGGGAGTTGGGAGGTCATGTTGAGGCTGTGCATCACATTGGTTAGGCCACTTTTAGAATACTGCCTGCAATTCTGGTCTCCCTGCCATAGGAAGGATGTTGTGAAACTTGAAAAGGTTTCAGAAAAGATTTACAAGGATGTTGCCAGGGTTGGAGGGTTTGAGCTATAGGGAGAGGCTGAATAAACAGGGTCTATTTTCCCTGGAGCGTCAGAGGCTGAGGGGTGACCTTTATAGAAGTGTATAAAATCATGGGGGCATAGATAGTGTCGAGAGCCAAGGTCTTTTCCCCAGGGTAGGAGAGTCCAAAACTTGACGGCATAGGATTAAGGTGAGAGGGGCAAGATTTAAAAGGGACCTAAGGGGAAACTTTTTCACGCAGAGTGTGGTGCGTGTATGAAATGAACAGCCAGAGGAAGTGGTGGAGGCTGGTACAATTAGGACATTTAAAAAGCATCAGATGGGTATACGAATATGAAGGGTTTAGAGTGATATGGGCCAAATGCTAGCAAAAGGGACTAGATTAATTTAGGCTATCTGGTCGGTATGTAGGAGTTGCACCAAAGGGTCTGTTTCCATGCCGTATAACTTCATGACTCTACTCCTGACTTTTACTGCTTGACATGTATTAGTATATGGCACATTTTTAAAGACCTGTCCTGTATTACATGGAACATCACAATCTAAATTTTAGCCATCCATGAAAATTGCTGTTATTAATCATTTCTCATTTTTTTCAGATGTTGTGCATATTATCTTACAAAATCAGTTCATAACAGTACAACCATCACTGCTATGATGTTTGTCTATCATGTAAAAGTTACCGAGTATACTTTTTTAGGGCAACCTTCACTCCTATGCAAGTCCACAAACATGTCGTGATTCCATTCAATTACCTTGACTTATTGTTTAAAGATAACTTTTCCCACTTAATTGTTCTGTCTGCTTCATGTTCGCTTATTTGGCTGAAGTGGTGCATGCTTGCTTCCAGGTAGTAGTTTAATAAGTGGCTTACCAGGCTACTTATAGAGTCATAGAGTTACAAAAGCATGGAAACAGAACCTCCAGTCCAACTCGTCTGCGCCAACCAGCTATTCTAAACTGGTCTAGTCCCACTAGCCAGCAATTGGCCCATATCCCGCTAAACCCTTCCTATTCGTGTATCCATCCAGATGCCTTTCAAATGTTGTAATTATACCTGCCTCCGCCGCCTCTTCTGGCAGCTGATTTATATGCACACACCACCCTCTGTGTGGAAAAAGTTACCCCTCACGTCCCTTTTAAATCTTTCCCTGCATACCTCAAACCTGTGCCCTGTAGTTTTGATTCCCCTACCCTGAGAAAAACATTTCAGAGGACAGATGAAAATCAATCACATCGGTGACAGAGGAAATCACCTGTAACCCAGATTAGGTAAAAACAGCACATTTCTGTCCCTGAAGGACATTGGGGAACCAGATTTGTCCATTGTTGCAGAAATCATGTTTGAATAATCAGAGTACTGAGATTAGTTTTTAGTTCCAGATTACTGTTTCATTAATTGAATTTAAATTGCACTCTGCTGCCGCCTTCTCTTGACTGCTCAAGGCACCTTCACCAGCACCTTTTTAAAACCTCAACCTCAATCACCCAGAAGGACAGGGGTAGCAGATACGTGAGGAGATTGCCATTCTTTCACTGTCACTGGCTCAAAATCCTGGAAGTCCTTCCCAATCAGTACTGTGTGTGTACCCACCTCACATGGCCTGAACTAGCTCAAGAAGGTGGCTCGCCAACATCATCTCATTGGAGAAGAAGTTGGCTTAAGGGTCATATCGCTGGGCTAGTAATCCAGAGGCCCAACGTAATGGTTTTGAGACATGGGTTTAAATGTGCTAAATGAATTAGGAACAGCATTCTAATCTCAATCATGACCATGGCAACTACAATCAATTCTTATAAAAACTTATCTGGTTCATTAAAGCCTTTTTGGGAAGGAAATCTGTCATCTTTACTTGGTCTAGTGTGCAAGTGACTCCACACCCGCAGCAATGTAATTGACTCTTAATTTCTCCCGGACTGAGGGAAATCTGGGATGAGCAATAAATCCCAGTCTTGCCGGCAACACCCACATCCTATGAAAGTTTTTAAAAAGGGCATTATTTCTCACTGGCGCCCAATTTGGGTACCACCAGGGCCACTTAACTCCTGACCTCACTACAAATATGGACAAAAGAGCTGATCAGTTTCTCCAGCAGTTTCTGAGATTTTTGATGTTCTGAAGCATTACCTTGACTACCACATCTACCCTCAAAATCTTGCAACTTATCATTGAGCAGAAACATAAATAGACTAGCGACATAAACACTGACTACAACAGATCAGAGGCTTGGAATTTCGGAATGTGTACTTATGTCCCAACTCTCCAAAGGCTGTCTATCATCTATAATGCACAAATATGGAGTTTAATGAAACTTGTCAAGGTGAATGCAACTGCAACAGCATCTCAAGCGCAGATCATTCAGGTAAAGACGTGCTTGATTTGCATCCAATTCATCCTTTACCATTCACTCCCTCCATCACTAGCATTAGTGATAAGTAATATACAGCAGCTCGCCAAGCCTCCTTGCAAACCAGGGACCTCCATGATGAGGTCAAGAGATGCATGGGACCACCACAACCTAGAAGATCCCCCTCCAAGCCACCCAACCCCCACACTCCTGTCTCAGAACTATGTCGTTGCCTTTTCACTGTCTTGGATAAGTCTTGAAACTTACTTCCTAATAGCATGATATGTATACCTATGCGATGTGACTGTACTCTACGAGGCATGAGTCAGAATTCTGATGCAATACTCCCCACTAATGCTCGTAGCTCACTGAAGCAAGTATTCAGACTGTGTATGCTTTGCTCCTAAATGCCTGTAGTTTGTGTGACCATGGGAGACCATCAGAGTTGAAGCCAATCCTATCCCAACCCATTCAACTACCACTGATAAACAGATTTCAGCAGTTGAGGTTGGTGTAAGCAGAGGCAAGAGCTCTGGCTTGTTTATTTTTGAACCAACCAAACCCGGGGGAACTGAGGCCTGTTATTGAACACTGCCCAACTCGGGCGCCCTAATTTGTCAGTTCAATCTGATTAACCTCTAACTTTGCTGGCCCATATCGTTCAGTCAAACACTAGGCAGTGTCTTATCCACAAGCTATCCAGAAAGCTGGAACAATTTTGATTTTATTTTTAAACGCTTTCTTTCTGCTAAGGAAGTGAAACTGTGCCTGTCCACTGACATGCAATCAACCAGTACCTGCAGTGAAATTATATATCAAAACATCAATAACTACAGCCAGCGTTACATCTTAAATACAACATTTAATGCTGTTCAGTAAATCCCACTAATCTTATTAAGAAACTAGCAGGACAAATGGTATTTGGAGCTTTTTGTAAGTAATCCATTTTTGTCCTGTATGATTTAATTTATTTAACATTATAAATACTAATACCTGAGTCACGCAGATTAGATTTCCTGTTTTCTTTCCTGAACTGCTGATGTAAGTGATTTATGTTAACTCATGGGAAACTTTGTTAAGAAATTTGTGCTTTTTTTGTGTGTGTACGGCGATTCACAATACCTTCAGGACTTGAATAGGGTGCAGGAAAGTGCTCAATAAAATTAAAGTACTGCAAATCTGAAACAAAAACTAAAAGTGCCGGAGAAACCTTGAAAGGCTGCCCTGTGTTTTACAGTAGACAGGAGTTAGCTTCATAATTACAATGCATGTTTGAGAGAACAAAACCTTGTCAAAATAACCTGCCTACATTTTAATTTTGCCGCCAAATGCCTTCTTTTCTCTTTTCCTCCCTCTCTTCCCCCTCCCTCCCCCCGCCCCCACCACAAATCCCAATTTCTTCCCCTCTTGTTTGATAAGGTTCCATGTGTGAGACAAGTACAATTACAACATTTGAAAGGAATCTTGATGGGTACATGAATAGGGAGAGTTTACAGGGATATGGGCCAAATGCTAGCGAAGGGGACTAGGTCAAATTGGGATGTCTGACCGGTGTAGGTGAGTTAGAGCGAAGGGTCTGTTTCTGTGCTGGATGACTTCATGACTCCATGTTAGGCTTCTTTATAAGAGCCAGTGTTGTTGTGGTAATATATTAACACTATTAGAACTTTGATTAACTAATATGAATTAGATAATTAGGATGGGGGCGCAGTTATTTACAAAAGTATTAATGACTTGCATGAGGAAAGTTGATGTACTACAGCCAAGCTTGTTGCAGATGACACCAAGATAGGTAGCGAAGCAAGTTCTGAGGATGACAATCTTCTCTTTGAGGGTAGTGAATCTGTGGAATTCTATATTGCAGAGATTTGCAGAGCCTGATTCATCAAGTATAGTCAAGGCTGAGATTGATTACTAGTTAGTAATGGAATCATGGGTTATTGAGAAAAGGCTGGAAAATGGATTTGAGGTTTATCAGATCAGCCATAGTTTCATTGAATGGTGAAACAGGGTCAATGGGCAGAATGGCCTGCTTCTACATTTTATGGTTTCTCTTTTGCAGGCTGACACATGGTGAGATGCTGTTTCACAATCATCTGTTGGCTGTATTTATTACATTGTGTTACTTAGCATTTACAAGTTGGAAATATGCCATTTGACACATGTCCATGTCGTTGTTCCACACCAGCATTATCCCATCATTGTTCATTTAATCCGATCAATATATTTTGCTTTTCCTCCCTTTCCCAGATATTGACCTAGATTTTCATACAGCATTGCGTTATTCTTCTCAGCCACTCCATGTGATTGAAAATTCCATATTATAATGAGCTCAGCTTCAAAAATATTATTTTCTGAAATCTTGGTTAGATTTGTGCCTGACTATCTTGTATTCATAGTGCCTGGTTTTGGATTCTTCAACAAGTGAAAATAATTTTTCTATATCTTCCCAGAGAAGACGATGACACAGTGGCAGTGTCACTGGACTAATATTACCAAGTTCATGTTCTGGTACACAGGTTTGAATCCCACCAAGGCAGATGGTGAAATCTGAATTTAATAAGAATCTGGAATTAAAACATCGTCAAATTAAGACAGCGCCACCACTGTCGATTGTCACAAACACCCATCTGATTAATGTCCTTTAGGAAAGGAAATCTACAGACCTTACCTGGTCTGGTTTACTTGTGGCGCCAGACCACAACAATGTGGTTACCTTTAACTTCCCTCTGAAATGGCTTAACAAGCCACTCAATTCAAGTGCAATAAGGAAGAATCAAAAAATAGTGACCCAGCCTGCAATGCCCATATCCTATGGGCAATAATTGTAAAAGATTAATAAATCTGAAATTAAATGCTGGACTCAATAATAGTGAACATAAAAACATTGATTGCCATGAAAATCCATTTCGAGAAGGAAGTCCTCTGCAGTTGCCCACTCAGCCCTGCATGACTCTCCAGACTTTTAGCAATGTGGTTGACACTTAAATGTCATCTGAAATAGCCTGAAAGCCACATAGTTGTGTCAAACATTGCAAAGTCGAAGGGAATGAACTCTCTTCTGAACAGCACTGAGGGTGTACCACTCCATATGGACTGGAGTGGTTCATGAAGGTGGCTTACCTTCTCAAGGGCAATTAGGCATGGAAATCATCCCTGGCTTAGCCATTGCACCCACATCCAGTGAACAAATCTGATAAAAAGCTCCCAAAACTGCTGCTAATATTGAAGATACCAATTAGCACACTCCTCAGTCTTTTTTATTCTAGAGGAAGAACCCAGCTTGTCCAATCTTTCCTGGTGATTACAAAATTTCAGTTCTGGTATCATCCTTTAAAATATTTGTTGTACCTCCCTTTGTGCCTCATTGTTATCACAATATGGGAGCCAAAACTATGCCCAGCAGTCCCACATTTCATGTAACCAAAGTTCATACATGATTAATGTAACTTCACAGTTTATCAGACAAAGCAGATATCTAATAAGAACCTGAGCTTCTAGACCTATCAAAGAGATCTCTCTAGGATCTTTAAATTGCCCATAGTGTCCAGGGATGCGTAGATTAAATGGACTAGCTATGGGAAATGCAGGGTTACAGACATGGGGAAGGGTGTGTAAGTTTGGGTCGAATGCTCGTGGGAGAGTTGGTGTGGACTTGTTGGGCTGAATGGCCTGTTTCCACACTTGTACCTCTTTCATAGAATCCCTACATCGGATATTTTTGCAAAGATGGCAGCACAGCAATAGCCTTTTGAGAGGTTCATAAACAGGTCAACAGCCTTGCTTTAACAATTGAAGAACAACTGACAGGGTTGCTCACAAGCAGCTAAGGTTTTGATCACAGTTCTCTCATCTAACCTGCATTTTAAAACAAAATGTCAATCCAAGTAATCAGAATTAACATCCAATAGGTCAGTTGCAGGTTAGTAAATAGCTTGTAAATTTTTAACTTCGGGATAAAGTGCCTAGATACTCTTTTTCTTGAAGATTGTTTTGCATCAATGATGTCTGGACGGCATTGCACATATAAAATGCACAACTGCTATGCAGACAAGACAGTGTGAGAGAGGAAGGAGCTACATTAAAGCAGAACCAAGTGAGGCTGAGATTGAGGCTGGAGGGGAAAAAGATGCCATTCAGTACATATTTTCAACTAATCCTGCTTTGACAGCCATGATTTTCTTTTTTTGTAAACCTGTGCTTCCAAACATGTCAAGAACTGGGGATTGTTGCAAATCCTGTTTGAGATGCATCATTTCTTGATAATATTTTGAGACTGCAAAGTAATTTTGAGAACTAAATTATCCTATGAATTGTGTAACAATGATGTTGTGCTATTGATATGACATTGACTTCTATTCTAAGATATTAAAGTAGTAAATCCTCGACATGAAATCACATTGAACTGTCTTTTTAAACTTAACCAGGGTGTATTACTTTATTTTTGTCCTCTTGTCTCCACCCTGACCCCCTACCCACCCTTCTCAGGATTAGCTCATGTTATGTTCATGCTTCTTGCGCTTCACTGGCTCCAGTATCACAGCCAAATGGGTGTCGTTCACACGTGAGCCTTGATGCTATGTGCACATCAGCCATCTGAGCTGAGCCTGATTCTGTTCTTATCCAGCAAATGCACTGACTTTCTATTATTATTTTTATTATTAGAGATTATTACTAGGTTATATTATTCAGGAACAACTAATTCCTTTTTTTTCCCTCCTTACTAGTATTGGAGCCCTCGGATGGAAATCCACTTTATTGTTTAATCACAGATGGCCCTAAGTGAACATGAGGGCTATAATTCAATCACTACATTCAGATGATGCTGTAATCAACTACTGCCTTATTCCTGCCATTTTTAAGATCATATGAATCTCCCAATTAAATTACAGCCTTGTTACTTGCTTCTAAACCATCAATAATATCCTTCCATATCCATGCAGCCTTTCAAATGAAAGGATTAACCTCAGTGATTGACAAGTAATCCAAGATACTCTGTCTACATTCTTATTACTCTTGTTAAAATTTAATTTGTCATGAATGTCCCTGCACCCCGTATAAATAAAAATAACTTAACCTTGAATCCTGGAACTTTAACCGCTGTCTGTCGATGTGCACTGCAGCATCTGAAATGATCCTGGATCCCACATTGCTATTTTGTATTCTATGTCTTTTCCTTTATGGTTTTTGTTGATGCAGAGGTAAAGGTTAATGCCTTTCAAATGGCGTACAGTGTATGCTGTATCGTGATTGCCAATACAATCAGATCTGATCTTTGTACTGTCTAATGATAAATGCAAGCAGAAACATTTGGAGCTGAAAAAGGAATGCAGCAGTTCCATTTTTGGAAGAAAAACCAGGCATAAGAACATGCTGATTGCTTATTGAAACATTGCTCTTACCAGAAATATCCATTTCCATTCTCCTGCAAGTTATCCTGTGCATTATGACTTGGATAGCAAGTGGATGGGATCAATATCTCTTGTACTCCTAGTGTAGTTCTTCTGAATAATGGAGGAGTTTGCCGGAAGTAGGTGTAGAATGAATAATTTGCTGACTCTTTTAACAATAATTGGTTTGAGTTTGATGGTGGAAAGTGATTATGGACATGTGGTGTAAATGGATAAATCATGTCCAAAGGGAATGTATGGCACATTAAGTGACTACTGTTTTCTGGAAGCCTGTTTTTGCAGACCTGAGTCCTGCCTAGTGTCTGATTCAAATAAGCTTTTAATTTTTTTAGAAATGTTCAATTTACTTGGAAGGCTGAGGTGACCACAGCCTAGTGGTGGTGGTCTTTGTTCATAGAGTGAAATACGGGTTGATTGTGATTGGGTGGAGGGGTGGGCAGTAATACCTCAAGCTGAAAAACTTTCTGAACTTCTCCTGGTGTCGCTGTGATTGAACATTTTTAATGTAGTTTGAAAGAGATTAACTGAAGCTGACAATTAGCTAGTTAGCAGAATGTCCCTTCTGTGAAGGAAATCAAACTTCTACAAAACATTATATAATAAAGTAGGAAAATACAGTCAAATCGAGGA